TCAGCCTCCCAAGTAGCTGGGACTATAGACACGTGCCACCACGCCCAGCTAATTGTATTTTTAGTAGAGACGGAGTTTCACCATGTTGGCCAGGATGGTCTCTGTCTCTTGACCTCATAATCCGCCTGCCTTGGCCTCCCAAAGTGCTGGGATTACAGGCATGAGCCACCACGCCTGGGCTTTAATGATAGGTTTTCAAACCCCACATAAAACCACCCTTTCTCCTTGCCTGCTTTTTGCCAGTCATTTCCAGCTTTGACCTCATTTTTGGTTCTTTGTTCTTCTTATTCACCATTGGCTCTCAGAGGATTCATTTATAAAACTAATAATAGATCCTGGTAACATTAAAATATATCTGCCTGATCAAAGATATAGTCACAGACCTTTTATAGTAATCAATAAATATATATTCCTGCCAGTGCTTAGCACTCTACTACATAGTTTCATCTAGATATACTTCTGTCATCTTTTTTTTTTTTTTTTTAATGAGACGGAGTCTTGCTCTGTGCCCCAGGCTGGAGTGCAGTGGCGCGATCTCGGCTCACTGCAAGCTCCGCCCCCCCGGGTTCACGCCATTCTCCTGCCTCAGCCTCCCGAGTAGCTGGGACTACAGGCGCCTGCCTACTTCTGTCATCTTAGACTCACCTTCATTGAAGAGCTTTACTCTCCAGCATTTCCTTATCTGATAGCCATAATTTCTGTCATCTCCAATCAAAACCTTGGAGTAATTTGATTTTCCTCTTCTTCCTTATTGTGCTAGCCAACCACTTTACATTTGTTGTTGTTGTTTTAAAAAGAGATGGGATCTTGCTTTGTTGACCAGGCTGAACTCTAACTCCTAAGTTCAAGGGACCCTCCTCCCTCAGCTTCCTGAGTAGCTGGGACTTCAGGCATGCAACGTCATACCCAGCTACTTTACCAAGTTTGGTTAATTCTTACTTTTATTGGCATCCTGAATCCATCTATTCTTTTCCATTCCTGTTAGTATTAACCTACTTTTTTAGTATTTTTACTGAAATGGCTAATGTATTATCTCTATTAATTCCTACAACTCTGTGAGTACTGTTCCTATCTGGAGATAACTTGTTAATACTTACCATTTAGTAGGTGGCACAACAAGGGTACAGACTCAAGTCCAAAGCCTTCATACTTCAATATTTTATGTCATTAGCTTGAGAATATAAATGTGTTGAAAGTTGAATGTAATCACAATATGAAAAAATTAAAATAGAAAACACCCGGCTGGGCACAGTGCCTCAGGCCTGTAATCCCAGCACTTTGGGAGGCCAAGGTGGATGGATCACCTGAGGGTCAGGAGTTCAAGATCAGCCTGGCCAATATGGGGAAACCCCGTCTCTACTGAAAATACAATAATTAGGTGGGTGTGGTGGTGCACGCCTGTAATCCCAGCTACTCAGGAGGCTGAGGCATGAGAATCACTTGAACCTGGGATGCAGAGGTTGCAGTGAGCTGAGATCATGCCACTGCAGTCCAGCCTGGGCGATGGAGTGAGACTCTGTCTCAAAAACAAAAACAAAAACAAAACACTCAAAATTTCGAATAGGTTTTTCAAACTACTCCTTTTTTGTTTAGTTGCATGGTTATAGTGGATAAAAGCACAGACTTATGGAAACATCTAGTTTGAGTCCTAACTTTGCCACTTATAAACATGTGAACCTTACTCAAGTTACACTAACTGTGCTTTAGTTTGCTCCTCTACAAATAGAAGATAATTTAATACCTACCTTAATAAGGTGGTTTGTGATAATTGAGACTTTATATGTAATGACCTAATAAGCATACAAATGTTCCTGATAATCCCGGGTACATAACAAATGTTCTGTGAAGTTAGCTCGTTATTAATATAATTTAGTGGTGTTTGGACATTTTAGCTAAGGGTTCTCATTTGGAATACCAATAAATAAAGGAGACTAAAAGCATTATTTCACTAATTCAAATATATATCAAAAGTTATTTTACACTCCCTGGCACCATAATCCCTCCCATTCACTCTGTGCCCCACTTCCCATACCCAGATATACATACTGTATATCTGATAGAATTATAAAGGTAAGTGAAAAGCATATTAGAAAGTTAGAACTTTCTGGCTGGGTGCGGTGGCTCACACCTTAATCCCAGCACTCTGGGAGGCTGAGGTGGTGGATCGTCTGAGGTGAGGTCAGGAGATTAAGACCAGCCTGACCAATATGGTGAAACCCTGTCTCTACTAAAATACAAAATTACCCGGGCATGGTGGTGCATGCCTATACTCCCAGCCACTTGGGAGGCTGACACAGGAGATTTGCTTGAATCCGGGAGGCGAAGGTTGCAGTGAGCCAAGATCGCACCATTGTACTCCAGCCTGGGCGACAAGAGCGAAACTCAGTCTCAAATAAAAAAAAAAAAGGAAGAGAAAGTTAGAACTTTCCATCATGTTAAAATTTTCTATAGAGCAAAATATGTATACTTTTTTTTTTTTTTTACAGCTTTTCAAAGGATTAAAAAATAATAATTTAAACTTTGGTGAATTCAGCAAACTTTCTTCTTTTTTCTTTTTTTCTCTTTTTTTTGAGATGGAGTTACCGCTGCTTGTCGACCAGGCTGCGTTTCAGTCCGGCCCCCCTTCGCCCTCACTGCCACCCTGCACTTCTGCCGGTTCAGCCGCTTTTCCCCCTGCCTCAGCCTCCTAAGTTGCTGGGATTACAGGGCTGATGCGCACGCCTGGCAATTTTTGTATTTTTAGTAGAGATGGGGTTCCCATGTTGGCCAGGCTGGTCTTGAACTCCTAACTCAGGCGTGTCTTCCTGCCCTTGGCCTCCAAAGTGTTGGAGATCACAGGCGTGAGCACTACACCCGCTGATTCAGCAGATTTTTCTAAACATAACGTGTTTACCATAGATTGAGTCAAACTCTTTACCTAGGTTCTAGGTGTTTCTAATAGGATTTCTGTTTCATGTTCCCTTTTTCTTAATATAGGCTTTTGCTCAGATTCTCATATGAACTCCACCCTATTATACTCCATTCGCTGTCTTCCCCCACTGCTGCTTCATTTTTACGCCATGGCCATCCTCCTCCTTCATCGGCACTCAGCTTTTTTCAGTTTATTTTTCACCCAGCACTTTGCACATTTGTGGCATCTTTACTTTTCTTCCTATTCTCTGTGTTATCTATAAAGTTATGTTCTCAAAATGTAGACCACAAACTGTTTCTGGTCATGATGAGATAAAGGCTTACATCCACTATAAGTCAACTATAGCATACAGCATACTGTTTTGTTTAGCTAATTTTTTAAGCAAGATTTTCTTTTTTCTTTTTTTTTTTTTGGGATGGAGTCTTGCTCTGTCACCAGGCTAGAGTGTAGTGGCGTGATCTCGCTCACTGCAACCTCCACCTCCCGCCTGCCTCAGCCTTTCGAGTAGCTGGGATTACACGCAGCTTGCCACCCACCCAGCTAATTTTTTTGTTTTTTGTACTTTTATAGAGATGGGATGTGACTTGTGTTGGCCAGGCTGGTCTCAAACTCCTGACCTCAAGTGATCCGCCCACCTCAGCCTCCCAAAATGCTGGGATTACAGGCATGAGCCACCGCACCCAGCCATTAAGGAAGATTTTCTTTTTTTTCTTTCTCTTTTTTCTTTTTTTTTTTTTTTTAAGATGGAGTCTTGCTGTGTTGCCCAGGTTGGAGTGCAGTGGTGCCATTTGCAACCTCTGCCTCCTGGGTTCAAGGGATTCTCCTGCCCCAGCCTCCCAAGTAACTGGGATTACAGGTTCCTGCCACCACACCCAGCTAATTTTTGTGTTTTTAATAGAGTTGGGGTTTCATCATGTTGGCCAGGATGGTCTCAAACTCCTGACCTCAGGCAATCCGCCTCCCTTGGCATCCCAAAGTGCTGGGATTGCAGATGTGAACCACCACACCCGGCCTTAAGCAAGATTTTTACAATGAGAGAGCAGTGTATTGATTCGTATTCTGATGCAAACTCCCTTATCTTGTTAGAGACCAACACTTCCAGTAAAGTCGTCTATACCATACAAGTTAACATTGTAATTCTGTCAGATATACAGTATATTGATGGGGAGTAGGGCAGATAATGAATGGCAGGGGTTATGGTGCTAGTGAATATTAAAAGATTTATTCATTGGTTTTGGTCTTTCAGCATCTGAATTTCTGTTTCGTATTTCTCGAATTCCTTCCTTTATGATTTTTGGTGGGAAGCTTAACCTGCTTGTTACTATAGCCAGGTGCTTGCTTTGTCAGCCTTCCTTTTACTATGACACATGAGCTGTGGACTTGGTCTAGCAAATACACCAGTACAGACAGCATCTTTGGAGCTGGGGACATGGAAAAGGAGGAACTGCATGGACCCTGTCTGTGGTGGTAGTAACAAATGCAGTGGTGTTTTCCCAGGGCCAAGTCTGCTACAGTTTTGAACGTCCTTGGTTGTGTAGCCTATAAATTGGGTTCTCTGAAGATTGTTATCCCCCAGATATCTTTTCATAAATGTATTTCTTACTTGAATTAGCCAAACTAGGTTTTTGTTGCTTCCAGCTAAGAACACTGACTGAAAAAAAATACTAACAAAAGAAAACAAAACACCTTATACTGTTACAGTTACTTTAAGCAAGCTGATCACAAGCAAATCTTTTTTTCTCTTAAATTCCACATGAAGTTTTTTTTTTTTTTTTTTTTTTTTTTTGAGATGGAGTCTTGCTCTGTCACCCAGGCTGGAGTACAATGGCATGATCTTGGCTCACGGCAACCTCCACCTCCTGGGTTCAAGCAATTCTCCTGCTTCAGCCTCCCGAGTAGCTGGGATTACAGGCATGCGCCGCCACGCCCGGCTAATTTTGTATTTTTAGTAGAGATGGGGTTTCTCCATGTTGGTCAGGCTGCACATGAAGTTTTAAAAATGTTTTAGGCTTGCTCTGTGAGACATGTAGACAGTACAAATTCTAAATAATAATGATTTCATTTTAGTATTTGCATTTTAAATTTTCAGTGTGTTTTATGGACCATGTGCTGCTATGTATGCCTGAAGAAGTACTTGAAATGCAAATTTGGGGAGACTTTGCCATATAAATGCTTGGCTGGATTAAGCGCCTAATTAGGATGGTTTTTCATCAAGTTGGAGTAAGCATGCAATCGGTGAGTGCTCAAAATTCATTTTTTAAATCCCGACATTTAGATATTTTAAGAATTTTTTCTGAGAAAATGAAATAAATCTATATATGACCAACATCTTGAATTCAATATGTTTATGTACTGTTTAATTTGCTTTCTATTTAAATCATAGAAGTGAATCTTTTCTCAGTATCCAAAGTAAGGAAGTAACTTTCTGGGTTACATTGAAAACTTACCAGTATTCATGTGACCATTAAGAGCAATATATTTGTTATTAGTGAGGAAAAGGCTTAAATAAGCAGAAAAATCATTGCATAAAATATGCTTGGCTAACCCTTGACAGCGCTCTTAATGTTGTAGAACTATTAACATTGAATATTAACATGCTGTTATAATGTGTTTAAACAACACGGTTGTTTAAAAGTAAGTGATGTCTCTTAAAAATAACAACTATTGATAAGAAGGAAAAAGTTACTATAATGATTATTCTATGCTAGAGATGTTAGTTTTCATCTTGACTTTTTTTAATAAGTATTTTCTACTAATATATAAAGTTTGTTTAGACCTATAAATTATTAGAGCAAGTATTGTGCCAAGCACATTTTGTAGAATATTTTGTTTTACATTTTCAGATTCGTTTTTTTCATGGCTATGACATAGAGTTAAATTTTATTTATTGAAGATATAGGCAGGTTACATAATTTGAATATGGGTATACTTTTTTTTTTTTGACAAGGAGTCTTGCTGTATTGCCCAGGCTGGGGTACAGTGGAACAATCTCAGCTCACTGCAGCCTCTGCCTCCCAGATTGAAACGATTCTCCTGCCTCAGCTCCCTGAGTAGCTGGGATTATAGGCTCACACCACCACGGCCAGCAAATTTTTATATTTTTAGTAGAGACGGGGTTATACCATTTTGGCCAGGCTGGTCTTGAATTCTTGACTGCCCACCCTGCCTTCCCAGAGTGCTGGGATTATAGGTGTGAACCACTGTGCCTGGCAGAATATGGGTATACTTTTTAGTGCACTTTTACTTTTTTGTTTTTGTGCCCGAACTTTGAATCTCCCCGACTTCCAAGATTACATCTGTTTTCTTCGGAGATTAAACAGTAGAAACCAAATAAAATTATCTTTGTTTGTAGCTGCATAATTTTGAGATTATTAGGTTGAGGATAAGCAATAGGAAAATGACTTGTAAATTTATTGGTATTTTCATCTATTTCAGATATACGTTCCTATGTTTTAAATTTCACTTAGTGGCCAGGTTCAGTGCTTCTTTGGGAGACGGAGGCAGGAGGATGGCTGGAGCCTAGGAATTCGAGACCATCCTGGGCAATATCGTGAGACCCTGTCTCTACAAAAAATGTTAAAAATTTAGCTGGGCATGGTGGCACATACCTCTAGTCCCAGCTATTCGGGAGGCTGAGGTGGGAGGATTGCTTGAGCCTGAGAGGCAGAGGTTGCAGTGAGCTGAGATTGTGCCACTGTACTCCAGCCTGAGCAATAGAGCAAGACCCTATCTTTAAAAAAAACAAACAAAAAAACTTCACTTAGCTCAGTTTTATCATCGTGTGGATTGACATTTTAGTAATGACAGCAAAAGTTTCTTTTTCTCTTGCTTGCACAAGGAAGGGAAGTTTTTGTTATTTATGATTTCCAAAAACCAAAGCTTTATAATTTCTATTTACTGTAATTTTAGTAAGAAGTATAGTTTAATGTTAAGATTGTGGGTCCTGGATTTAAACACACTTGAATCTGAAATTTGTCTCTGTCAGTTATTGCCTTCCTCTGCAAAGTAGCTGTAAGAATTGCTACTGCTGAGTTACCTGTGGATTAAATGACAGTGTATGTAAAGCATCTAGCACAGTGGCTTGTACAGTGTAGGTACATTCAATAATAGTTTCTTACATTTTTGCTGTTACCAGCCTCCCACCCCAAGACAGGTCAATATGAGTAGTGCTAATTGAGGCCAAAGGATAGAATTCTGTTCAGGCACAGATAGCACGCTTTATTTAGCTTATTCACTTTAAGCTGGAAAATGGGTGCCTTTCATCAAAGAATGGACGAGCTAAAGGAGGATTAACGTGCTCAAAATACTGTAATTACAACTGAGAGTCCTTCCTACTAATAGCAGATTAGCAAGATCTATTTTTAACTTACTGAAGCTAGCATATAATCATCAACTTTAATCAGCTGAAAATTCATATAAAAACAAATTTTCTTCTAACGTAAAGCAATGTGATCTTTTGGGGTTAACTAATTTCCAATTTTTTTAGCTTGTTGCCTAAGAATAAAAATACAAAGGAATCTTTCAAGATTTTATATTTGGGCACCAGAAAATAAAAGAAGCTTTCTTAGCTCTACCTTTCAGTGATTAACTTGTGTTTTCCCATTGATCTGATATGTACAGGCATATCTTGGAGATACTATGAGTTTCATTTCAGATCACCACAATAAAGTGATAGTGAAATACAATGAATCACTTTTTTTTTTCTTTCAAACAGTCTCACTCTGTTGCCCAGGCTGGAGAACAGTGGTGCAGTCTTGGCTCATTGCAACCTTCGCCTTCTGGGTTCAAGTGATTCTCCTGCCTCAGCCTCCCGAGTAGCTGAGATTACAGGTGTGCGCCATCACACCAGGCTAATTTTTAAATATTTTTAGTAGAGACAGAGTTTCACTATGTTGGCACCTGATGCTTCTTCATCTTGTACTTTTATGTTATGGAGATGACTTTTTTCCGTATGCCTCATTAACCAACTTCTGCTAGCTTTAACTTTTCTTTTGTAGCTTCCTTGCTTCTCTCAGCCATCACAGAATTGAAGAGAATTAGAACCTTGCTCTGGATTAGGCTTTGGCTTAAGGGAATAGTGACTGGTTTGATGTTTATTTTCTCTATATCAGAAATAAGGCCTTCTTACTTTCTTATCATTCATGTGTTCACTGCAGCAGCACTTTAAATTTCCTTTAATAACTTTTCCTTTGCATTCACAGCTTGGCTAACTATTTGGTCCAGAGACCTAGTTTTCAGCCTGTCTGTACTTTCAACTTGCCTTCTTCACTAGGCTTAATACTTTCTAACTTTTGATTTAAAGTGAGAGACATGCAATGCTTCTTTTTACTTGAACACTTGGAGATCATTGTAAGGTTAAACTGGCCTAATTCCAGTGTTATTTTGTCTCAGAATAGGGAGGTCTGAGATTGCGGAATAGCTGGTGGGTGGAACAGTCAAAACACACATAACATTTATCGATTAAGTTTGCCATCTTACGTGTGCTCAGTTCATGGCACCCCAAAACAATTAAAGTAGTAACAAATAACATCAAAGATCACTGATCATAGATCACCATAATAGATATAGTAAGAATGCATAAGTCAGGGCCTGGCATATAAGGGGGCTGGGGGTCAAGGGGAGGGGGAGCATTAGGACAATGCATGCGTTGTCCTGACGCATGTGGGGCTTAAAACCTGGATGACAGGTTGATGGGTGCAGCAAACCACCATGGCACATGTATACCTATTTAACAAACCTGAACGTTCTGCACATGTATCCCAGAACTTAAAGTATTAAAAAAAAAAAAAAAAAAAAAAAGGCCGGGCGCCGTGGCTCACGCCTGTAATCCCAACACTTTGAGAGGCCGAGGCAGGCGGATCACAAGGTCAGGGGTTTGAGACCAGCCTGGCCAATATAGTGAAACCCCGTCTCTACTAAAAATACAAAAATTAGCCAGACATGGTGGTGGGTGCCTGTTGTCTCAGCTACTCAGGAGGCTGAGGCAGGAGAATTGCTTGAACCCAGGAGGCGGAGGTTGCAGTGAGCTGAGGTGGTGCCACTGCACTCCAGCCTGGGCAACAGAGCAAGACTCCTGTCTCAAAAATAAAATAAAATAAAATAGTAATGCATAAGTTTGAAATATTGTGTGAATCTGCAAAACATGACACAGACATGAAGTAAGCACATACTGTTGGAGAAATGGCGCCAGTAGACTTGGCTTGATACAAGGTTGCCACAAACCTTAAATTTGTTAAAAGAACAATATCTCTGAATTGCAGGAAAGTGAAATGCATGCCCAGCTAATTTTGTATCTTTCGTAAGGATGGGGTTTCACCATGTTGGCCAGGCTGGTCTCGAATGCCTGACCTCAGGTGATCCGTGCACCTTGGCCTCCCAAAGTTCTGGAATTACAGGCGTGAGCCACTGCGTCAGTCCTTTTAAATGAATTTGATACTGTGCTTGAAAGCATTCCAAGAATGAAAACTGCCTTCATCCTTTATTTTATCTCTTTTTTTTTAAGAAAAAAAGGCTAGCATAGTGGTTCATGCCTGTAATCCCAGCACTTTGGGAGGCTATGGTGGGAGGATCACTGGAGTCCAGGAGTTTGAGGCCAGCCTGGGCAATACAGTGAGATGCCATCTCTACAAAAATTACAAAAATTATCCAGGCATGATGGTGTGTGCCTGTAGTCCCAGCTACTTGGTAGGCTGAGGTGGGAGGATCACTTGACCCTGGGAGGCGGAGGTTGCAGTCAACTGAGATCATGCCACTGCACTCCAGCGTAGGCTACAAGTGAGACCCTACTTCCAAAAAATAAAAAATAAAAAGAAGAAATTACAAGCTTTTAGATCAGATTTTGTTTGGTTTCATTTTTCCCGTTAGAACAGCCAGTGGTGATTACCTCATTGTCTTTGACTCTGCACACTAATATTACTGTAATAGCCATCCCTGCTTGGCTTACTGTGTCAGTGCTTACTGTGGCCAGTGCTTTTACATAAATTGCCTATATTCAATAGAACAGTGCACATTACAGATGAGAAACCTGACGTTCAGAGTGTTTAACTGCCTTGACCAAAGTTACCTAAGTAGTAGAACTATAATATGAACCCAATTCTGATTCCAAAATCCTTTCTCTTTTCAGTGTACTTTGCTACCCTTAGAAGGGAAAGATGACTGTTAATGTTTATTTAAAACATTATATATGGCCTGGTACAGTGACTCACACCTGTAATTCCAGCACTTTGGGAGGCTGA